TGCTGCTTCCATAGTCTTAAATATCATCCACTTTTTCACACCATTCGTTTCAATGCTGTCACCAAATGGTCTTTCTTAAATGTGACATCAAAGGTGGTTTCTCCCTGAACCAGCATGCAGCGAGCCCTCACTGCTGTCAGGCTCATACTCAGTGTACAAGGGCCCTGCTTGCTTTCTGAGCTGCTTCTGCCACCTCTATGCGGGCCCACTGACCGCTCACTGCTGCTTGCAGTTCTTCCCCTGGGCTGGGCTGTGCCTCACCTAAAGCTTGTGTGTGCCGTTCTCTGCTCTTCCAAAAGCCCTTCGGCACCACTCCCATAATCGGCCCAAACAATTCTCATGTGTTTAAGATTTAACTTAGACATTACATTTCCGGTGGAGCCTGTCTTGACCTCCCGTACACCAGGTCCCCATGTCCTCAGTCCACATAGCCGCTGTCATGGCCTGTTATGTATTATAGTTACTTGCCATTAGACCGTGAGCTCCTTAAAGACCATATCCAGTACATTTTTTTGTCTCATACCTAGCAAGTTATTACCTGCACATAGCAATTGGTCCACAAATGTTTGAATTTCATTTTCTGAGAAGCATTGTTAAAAATGTGTTCCTTATGTTGACCTAAAGTCTGGTTCTCTCCAATATCATCACACTGAATATATTTCTTTTTGCTAATAATCTATTATTTCAATACAGTATTTGAGTTTCCCTCAAGTCTTTTCCATATGAAACTTTTGTAAAACATAGAACATTAGTTCTCAGTTACCGATATGGCAGTCAGAATTAAATTTAATACTGCATTCTAGATATTATTAAAGCAGTTTTTAGTTTTTATAGAAACCCACATGTTTTCCATCAGTTATTACCAAGCCTTTGCCCTTCATCTTCTGCTTGTTAAAATCCATCTTATTTTAACCCATTCATTTTAATCTTCATTAAATCCATTTGAATCAGCTCAGCTAGCTTTGCGTTCTCCAGATTTTATGTACACACCTATTGTTTCTTTATCCAGATCTATGGATGGAAAACGGCCTCCCATAGCTTCCAGGAGATAACTCATTCTGGGTTAACCCTGAGTCCTCTTAACTACATCCTAGTTACAAATACCTCACGTCTTAAGTCTGCCCAACTCTACAGCATCTAATTCATTTTTTATTTATCCAGAGCTTATCTTGGCAAATGCTTTGTGGAAATAGAGAACGTTACTCTATAATTTATCAATTGAGTTCTGCTTTATATATATTTTTTGACTCTGTAAGGTACCTCACCCCCAACCCCTGACTCAAATTTCTAAAATTTTAAATGGAATAACTGGTTATACGTTTAAAGGGTCAAAATTGTACATGGTGCTACAGCTTTCTCAATCTCAGTGTTATAATACATTTTCTCAGGTTTTAAAAAGTGGCAGAAAGAAGAAAGCAAAGAGAAAGAAAGGTGTTGAGAAGTCTTTATATGGGGAAAGAGACATCGCTTCTAAGAAGCCGCTCCTAAGTCCTATTCCAGAGCTGCCCGAGATGTCACCTGCTCTGCCAAGAGTCCGAAGGATGTATTCAGGTATTTTTCCTGCTCCTGTTGTTTATCTTTTCTCTTCACCTCTTTGTTGCTATTTCACTCTTTTTTCCCANAGGGCAGCCATGTGTACACCAAGGAGAGGCCTCAGGAAACCAACCCTGCCTTGATCTTGGACTTCCAGCCTCCGGAATTATGAGGACATAATATTGTTGAAGCCAGCCAGTCGGTGGTATTTTGTTATGGCAGCTAATATGGAGAACTGATATATTACCTTTTAATCTAAGAAAGTAGGGAACATTTAAAAATAACAATAAATGTGTGTGTATATATACACACACAAATTTCATTTAAAAAAAGTAGGAGAATAAAGCAAAGACAAATAATGTCACATATAGGGCGAGGCAACAGAAAGGAATAGGAAGGAATGAAAGCTAGACTTGACTCTTTTCTTTTTGATATTGAACCATGTAAATGCTTTTTACATGACTATAAAAATTAAATTGGAAAAAGAACAATCCTTAAAAATTGAAAACAAGACCATCGGAAATAATGATTGCAATAGATTGAAACAAATATCAAATATGAAAAAACACTTGAGTTCATAATAATTAATAACAAAACTTAAAGGCCACCTTAGAAGCTGTCTAGGACATTAACTTATTTTTCCAAAAACTGGAAAGTAAAGTTTGAACTCTATTTCAAGTAAATAATTGATGAGGAATTTCCACTAGTAAAAGAGACGTGTTCGTGAAAGTTGATGAATGTGAGTTAGGCAGAAGTCTGAGGGGGGAGTATAATAGATGGATCAGACTGAATGCCCAATGCATTCGTAATGCCACAGGAGTGGGCCTCCTGACGCAATAAGAAAGTATAAAGTATACCACCATCCCCGAAATGCTCAAAAAATAATCCAAGCTGATTCTAAGCAAGCCTAGATCTAAGGACCAGTTATAAATACAAGGGATAGAGGAAGATAAAGACATCATGATTGCAGTGAGCCAAACTCAGAGTCTGGCTCATTCTACAGGATAGAGGACTCAGTTTATTCATCAAATAAATGGCAAGAGGAAAAAATGAAGGAACCATAGATTAAAAGAGCTCTGTCAACCAAAGGAATGTGTGGAGACCTTATTGGAATCCTGAGTTGAACAGTTGTAAAAAGCCACTTGTGGATCAATTGGAGAACTTTGAACTCTGAGGAAGTATTAGGGAATATTGCTGTCATCATGGGGTTTTTTGGTGTGTTTAAATGTTTTATTTTGAGATAATTTTAGAAATGCATGCTGTTGTAAGAAATAGAGAGATCCCAAGTACCCTGTACCTAGCTTTTTCCAGTGGTGACATCTTGCAAAACTATTGTATCATAATAGTACAATATCAGAATACTGTCAAGATACAGGACATTTTGTCACCACAAAGATCTGTCCTGTTGCCCTTTGGTAGCTGCATTCACTTCCCATTCCTACCCCCAGCTTAACCCAACAATCACTAATCTGTTATCTGTTTCTTTAATTTTGTTATTTTAAGAATGGTACGTAAATGGAGTCACGCTGTGTAACCGTTTGAGACTGGCTTTTTTTCACTCATCATGATTCACTGTCACTTTGGCCAGGTTTCTGTGCTTACCAATAGTTCCTTTTATTGCTGAGTAGTATTGGTTATAAAAAAAAAAAGTAATAATTTTGCAGTGTATACATATATCCAATAATTACATTGTGTACCTTAAACTTAACATGATGTTGTATGTCATATCTCAATAAAGTTGGAAAAAATAAAACTCCATTGTAAAAGAAGAAAAAATCAACAATAAAATACAGTGTCAGGTAATAAGATATTTCATTTTGTTGTGGGGCAAAAAAAGGAGCCCTTATCTCTTAGAGATAATGTAGAATTTTCAGATGAAATGATGTAATATCTGGGGTTTACTTTAAAATAACCTGGGGAGGGAGTTATAAATAAATCTTAATGTCTATATGTTGGTAACTGTTGAAGAGCTAGTTGATGGGTACATGGGATTCAATATTCTGTTCTCTCTACTTTTGGTGTGTTTGACATTTTCAATTATAAAAAGTTAAAAGAAATATAGCAATATGATGAGCCCCTTATGTGTAGAGATGGATCTACCTACATATCTAAAACTGGAACCAAGCAATAAGTAAACAGCAGGGGTAAGGAAGTATATGCTTTTCATCTCAGCTTTCCTGTGCAATTTGATGTGTTCCAATTTTAGTATATGTGCTGCCGAAGCGAGCACTGATGTGTTCCCATGTATTATACATGAATTATTTTAAAATCATTAAAAAGCTACTCACAGAAAAGAATTTAAATAAGTCTTAATTGCAAATGAAACAAAAGATAAGCATTTACTTCTGTTGCATGAGCTGCTTCACTGTATGAGATGAGATGTTGGTGATTCTGAAGTGAATGGAATCACTTTCGGAGGAATACCTTTAGTTGTCCTTTGTCTGCTCCAAGTTATAAACCAGCCTAACCGTTTCTAGATCATATGGCTTTCCTACAATTCCAAGTCACATGTGGCTTCTTTTGTTTACTAGTTATAAACAAGGCTTTGTGTTGAATTAAATTTTGTTAAGGTTCTAGCCTTTGCAGATGAAACCTTATGGACAATATAATAAGCACTGCTAGATGTATTTTCATGGCCGACCTCAGGTGCTTTAATCTTGAATCCTTTCTTTTTCGGTGGTATACTTCTATTGGCCCATGACCATGAAAAAAAACAAACAGTATTATTCTTTTATCATGTTTAGCAAATTTTCTGAAGTTTAATAAAGTGTACTTCTTTTACTTTTATGTTTGTTCATTCATTCGTTCATT